TAATGGGTAACTCTGATTTGAATTACACCTCCTCGTAACCTTTCCGTCAATCCTCCAGACATCTACGTGTGCATGATCTCCTATGCTCACAATGTGGCAGCCCAGGGGAAGTACATTGCCATTGTCAGCACCACAGTGGAAACCAGCGAGCCCGAGGCTGAGATAGAGCCGGCCCTGGAGCTGCTGGAGCCCATCGACCAAAAGTCAGTCCCTCATTTACTGCTGCTTATTTCTGTGCCGTCAGGGTTATAGTTTAACAAACAAGCAGGGCATTAAAACTAAAAATGATGACAGTATATAGCTGGGTGTAGTTAACGCAGCTGTTTTTGGTGTTTTTTCAACAGGTTTGTGGCGATTAGTGACCTTTATGAGCCCACAGATGATGGTACTGAAAGCCAGGTAAGACAAAAAACAAAATGTAAATGATGTCACTCTACCTCTTTGGTTGTAAATGAGATATCTCAGTAGCTATTTAATAGACTGCAGTGAAATTTAGAAACAGATACTCATCGTACTCTGAGGGTGTATCCTACAGATCTTGGCGATCCCCTGACTTTTACTCTAGCAAAACCATGAGGATGACATTTTAAGTTTTGGGTGAAACAGCTTGACATCTATCGGATTGATTGCCATGAAGTCATTGCCACAGACATTTCGTGTCCTTAGAGCAGGGGTCGGCAACATTTTCTATTAGAGGAGTCATTATTGGCCAGAAAAAAGATAAAATCTGTCTGGACCTGCAAAACATATTTGAATAAAGGTAACAGCCTATTAAGTCTAAATTAGCAAATCAGCATTACAAACAGGTCTCATTGAGCATTCATTAATATGATTTTGCAGCGTTGGGGGTGAAAGCAAATTAATCCATCCATACGCTATTCAATCGTCTATTTTCCTCCAAGACTTTTTTTTTCAGATTTGGAATCCATAGCTAGCCTTGTAGGAGAGAGTCCACGCTAGCCACAGCTGTGAAGTTCAATAAAATTTAGAGGAAAGAGGCACCAGGTCGCAGACGTATGACGCACATTTTAGCTGATCAAATGTTAAAACATTTTTTAATTCGATATTTATAGGCTGCACATTTTTACACATGTAGAAAGCAGTAATCACTTTAGGGCTACAACAGTGACAAATGAAAATCTGAATGTTAAAAAATAACCTGTCAGAGTCACAGGGAGCCACTGAGAGGGTCTAAGGAGCTGCAGGTTGCCTTCCCCTGACCAAGGGGACAAAATATAATCGCTGATTTTTCTTTTAGCCTAGTCGTCAGAACAAAATGTTGGCATTGTACAATTCTGCAAACCATTTACATGTTACATTTGCACGTTTCATAAGCATCACATCAATGTTTCTGAAGGGACGTAGTATGTGAGCTGACTTGGAGGGGATGGTGGATGGTGTGACATCTAGGCGAGGCACCTGCTAATCTGCACATCACTTTTAGAGACCAACAAACAACAAAACTGTTTTTGTTTTAGCAAACTGTTGCTGTTTTTCTAGTGGATTTTTAGCCAATAAACCTTGGTGATTTTTAGCAACGTGTTGCTGTTTTTCCACCGGGGATAGTGTCACCCAAGGCGGTGCTTTCTTAGCAAGCTATTGCTGTGGTTCCAGTGGGGATTGTGCCTCCAAACTGGGTATTTTACGCCAAAATGTGACCTTTTCTTAATAAACCAAGTGGTTTTTGTGCCTAAACATAACCACATGTCAACCACAGTAGATTGTTGCACATGTTCGCTACTTAATATCGTGCAAATGTAACATATCTGTGGTGTGCAGAAACATAAGTTGTCAACATTTTCTCTGCTGACTGGGTTGTCCCACCGGCCTCAGCATTGTGTTTAGTTTTAATTGGTGAAGAGAACATTCTAACAGGCTAAAGTGTTATGTTGAGCATGGTAAACATTTAACATCAGTATGTTAGCATCGTCACATTTAGAGCATTTAGTGCTGCGCCTGAGTTCAGCCCCAAAGCACGGCTGCAGATCCTCAGTCCTGTCATTTTACCGTCCGCAGGTTTTCGCCTCGAGGTCCTACGATGCCACCACTCACTTTGAGACCACTTGCAACGACATCAAGGACATCTACAAACGTATGACCGGGAGCGACTTTGACTTTGAGAACATGAAGCGCAAACAGAACGACGTGTTCGGGGAGGATGAGCAGTGAGCGGTAGAGAGGGCTTCCGAGAGAGAGGGCGGGGCCGGGAGAGGAGGCGGGGCGAACAGGGGCGAGAGAGGCGGCAGAGCCAGCGTTAGAGGGCCGGGGCTGCCTCAGGGCAGTCCTTTAAAAAAACAAACGGGTGGGAGTGTGGCGTAGAGGGTGTGTTTGTGGGCTCTGCCTGCCCTCAGCCGTTTGCCTCCTTTTCCTTACGTCCCTCTCTCTCTTGACAAACACATAAATGCTCACGAACACACACACACACGCTGTTCAAATACTCACACTCCTTATCTCTGTCACCGTAAAGCAGGGTTGATATGGTCTTTCATTCCATTGTAGAATTTACAGTATATTCATGTCTTAACTATTATCATTAGAGGTGAATTTATTACTTGTTGTTGGCGATTTTCAAGCATTTCATTCTTTCTGTAAAGTCTCTCTCCTCATATCAGAAGTCGGTTAGATGGAAGGAAGATTGACGGCATTGAGAGGTGTGGACGGCGAGCTCTGACATGAGAGATCTGTAATGGCTTAGTGTAGAATCCTCTGGAAGGGTCACCTCCAGTTGACATGCATGCATCTTTTACACAGTAGTATTGTACATAGACTCAAAGACGACACTGCGGTATGAAGGCTGGACCATTCCACGCATCGCTCCTGTCAACCCTGCTTTCACTTTTCTCTTTCTCGGTCTTTTACCTGTGTTACGTCAAAAGACGCCGCTCCTTTTGGCAAAATCTGTTCGGTCAGGCAAAAAAAAAAAAAAAAAAAAAAAAAAAAATTACAATGTGATGAAAAATTAAAAAAAAATGGGCTGTTCTGTCAACTGATAGTGCTCACTTTGCAATGCTGTTGTGTTCCCTGTGCTATACAGGCAAGCTAACCAGTGGCTATTAACTGTCACCCACCCCCACCCCACCCCCTCCAAAAAATACTGTTCCTTTGTTTATCTGTTCTGTGATGTCAGTTTTGAATTTGAATAGTTTACTTTCTAACATTTTAAATTATTGAAGAGTTTTATTTCTATATATTTGGTGCACATTTCACTGGCTGAAGTTATGAAGTTTACAGATCTGAGGTTGAAACTGTGGTCTTCAAGTTGGATGTTTTAAAAAAAGGGACGGAGCTAAAGAGTCAAAGAGAGGATTTTTCTAGTGTTAGGAGACTTTTTATGAAGTATTCTGGAAGATTGGGAATGAGTGAGGAAAACTGAAATTGATCTTGTACTTGCTGAGAGGTGAGGAAATGTGGCGCAGGGTAAAGAATGTATGTGGGGAACGTTTTGGACTTTGGAAAGTTTCACTTTTTAGTGAAGAGGGTGAAGACTGAAATTTCGGCTCATAGTGAAAGCACCAGATTGTGTCTTGGTTGTTTCAACCCTTGTGTATGTCATTTAGGCGAGTCATTCCCTTAGGGACTAAAACCTATGAAAAATTGTTAAATAGAGGAAAGAGCTGGAAACTCCCGTAACTTTAAGACTTTGTAGCAAAAAGGTGTGAAGCCACAGTTACAGGCGCCGCCCCACCAGAACGAACCGAGATGCTTTTATTTAGTTGTAGCCTTAATTCTGGTTCAGATGTCTGGGCCCTTTTCAAAAGCTTCGTTTCATCTAACCGTCAGTGGCAGGTCAGTCTAGTGCCAAAAATGGTGTCGCTATTATTGGCAAAAGTTGCTGACAATGTTGAAAGTGCAGTTTTTTGTGGTGTACGTTGCTCTGCAGATCTGAGTGAATACTACAGAAGGGATATTGTTTTCTATCAGGGCTGTCACTGTACACCTGAGTGGAGGCAGCTCCTCGTTTCTCTGCGGCGCACTCACACTCACTCACAGCCTGATCGATCTGCGGCTCGTTACACATCGACAACAAACAGATGAGACGCTCCAATCGCTTTCTACAAAACACCCGAGGCATCTTGCTTTATCCACCACGACAAATCCCTTAGCAACTCTAAACAAAGTCATGGCGTGTTTGGGGTGTTGACGTGTCTTATTGTTATGCTCTATTTATTTGAATTTCACTGACGTATCGTGGAAAGTTTTATGTCAAATGCTGATTATTGCTATGCTCTTAGATTATGTTCTGATGATTTAAGAAGAAGAAAAAAGGATTTTAAAAGTGATGCACATTGAAATTCTTTTTTTTTGTTTTTGTTTGTTATTTGCTGTGTCACCTTATTCAGTGATCATTCCAGTGTTGCATCATACTTTAATATGATTATTAGCATTCCTAAGAAACAGGTTTTGATGGAAGGAAGACAGCAACAAGTCAGTGGCGGAGCTGAAACTCTCTACAGCTGTGTGTTCACAACGGTTTTCACACTGTGCGTCATTCAACATTGTGTGTGCTCTTCATCCTGGAATTATATGATAAAACTGGAATACTGTTTACTCTTTGAACATCGATATATCTGAAGCCCTCCCCCCCCCCGCCCTCCCTCAGCATCAGATACTCTCCTCTCTCTGTTTGTTTTTTTATTTATTGAGAAAAAAAAGCCTCTTGTGTGGTTGTACTGTTTTAATTTCCATCCAGTTTGGCCTTTTGGAAACCACTATTGACAATATCCCTTGAAATTGACAAAAGAAATAGTTCAGGCTGAGTAGTAGAAAACTTACTGTCCTTGTTTGATCACTAGTATGTGAACAATGCCTAATGTCTTGTGTAACAAATAAAATGAATTAAACTATGAATGAAATGATAGAAAAATAAAAAGCACATGGCAAACCTGGAAAGACCCTCGTCTTGTTTTGTCTCCTCTAAGATGCAGTGACAACACCCAGCTTTGCTTTGAGGGAGGATTATCTTTACATACATACATTAATATTTTATATACACTTTTACTAAAAAAAATACAACTTACAGAATGATACAGTTTTAATAATTACAAAGATCTGCATAATAATCATGAGGAATACTTTGTCTTTGAAGTCGAGAACAGAGTTGGTGTGCAGGACATTTTGGAGCGAGCGCAAACTGCTGCAGCACAAATGGACATTTTGTGGTTGCCATGCGAACAGGAGAACATCGTGTCTCTGTCATAGATACACAACACAGAGCCTGAATCCAAGTCAAATTCACTGACAGGGGAACAACAGCATCGTTCAGTCTGTCACTCTATCTGTCCAACCATACTTCCTCATCACTGTTTAACATGCAGCTTTCCCTCTTTTGTACCCACACCTGTGCTCCACCACTCCTTACAGAATGTTAGATAATGTGTCATTTTAGCCTCATGGAGTCCCGCTTCCTGCTCATCCTTTGTCCAATAACCGTGTCGTAATAATCGCTGTGACCTGAGCTGTGCAGCAGAGAGGCGACAAGGTGGAGCAGACTGGAGCTAGAATTACACATGATCCACCACGTAGCTCTCGTATGGATGACCCAGTAGTCTCTCTATGTCTGCCTTGGGCACCACCCAACACTTGCCCATGTGGCGTTTCCGCACCGTGTCTTTCAGCGTCTTGTCCTGCAAGGTGACCGGCATGTGCTCCGACCCCCACCTCAGGATGCCCCTGGCTGAGACCGCCTCATTGTGAGCGCCTCCATCCAGATAATCCTTCACCGCTGTTACCGTCATGTCAGTGTGCTGGAACTGGCCTGTGGGCAGATAAAAGACAGCAGAGGTGGAAAGTAACTAAGTGTTTTTACCAAGTTAAGTAACTAATTACAAAATTGAGGTACTTCAGTGTTATGCTACGTCTGCCTCACTACATTTCAGAGGGAAATACTGTTTTTTTTTTTACATTTATTTGAAAGCTATAGTTTCTAGTTACTTACAGTAAAGTTTACTTTTTAAGATTTTGCATATAAAATCTATCATACCTTTATGAATACAACACATTGTTTAAAGGCATACTTCACCCAAAAAGTGATCATTTGTATATCAATTTTTCACCCCGTGTTGTGCTGAATTTGTGATGAAAACTTAAGTCCTTTTTGGACAGAGATCCAGCAAAGAAGACCCTTCTTTACACCACCTTTGCTTTTTTCTACAGAACCAAACAATGCCGACATAATACTGTCCCAGTTTGTGTTTTTAGATAGTGTGCCCATCACGCAAAAAAGGCAATCCAAATCTGATCGAGCAACCTTGGGGCATGCTGGTGTGTCATCTCGCAACCCACAGGACTCGAAGGATGTGCCGTAAGGACCCTGGTGCCAGACACCACGGGCCATCCCCAGACTTCCTGTGTCCATATCTTGACATGTCAGAGCTATGTCCAAACTGTAGAGGCCCCACCGTGGATGGGCAGTACGTCTGGGGTATTGGCACGTCCCACAGATGCTCAGTCAAATTGGGAACTGGGGAATTTGGAGGCCAGGTTGATGCCTTGAGCTCTTTGTCATGTTCCTCAGGCCATTCCTGCAGTTTTTGTGGTGTGGCATGGCACATTGTCCTGCTGGGGGGCCACTGCCATTGGGGAGTGATGTTGCCATGAGGGGGTTTGCTTGGTCTGCAACAGTGTTTGGGTGAGTGGAGTGCGTCAAGTAACATCCACATGAATGCCAGGACCCAAGGTTTCCCAGCAGAACATTGCATTAACAAGATGATCAATGCAGTTCACTTCACCTGTTAATGGTTTAAATGTTTTGGCTGATCGGTGTATAACGTATGTGTCGGTAACACTTTAGTTTATTTCAGTCATTTTCCAGCTTATAATATACTGGTAGATAGACAGTATATAAACATTAAGATAAAGTTTTTTTAGTATAAAAAAAACAAACAAAAACAAAACAGGACTGAAAAAGTGTCGGCTGAAGCCTTAGCATGTAACACCTACCCTTTTAACATTCATTGTTTTTGTCAGCTGCCTTTAAATTATACAGAGCTAAGTATATAAACATTATATAGGCCTATTGTCTGCTCAAATATCCCAAGCACATTTTATGTACATTTTGGTGTTCATACTTAAGTTTTATATTTTTTAATCACTTTTAATCAATTGTGTTTACATTTTTTTTAAATCTATGATGCATATTACACACTTTGGCATAACATGACAATAACATGTACCGTCCCTTCTATATGGCAGATGATCTTGTCCTCTGCTCGGAGGGTAAGGAGCTCCCAGACCTTATTGTCTCTCAATTTTTCGGCTATTTTCAGTTGCTGTTCTTCCTCTTTGAGTTAGCTGCTAACTGCTTCTAGCTCCTTTTGTAAATTTCAGGGCAGTAGGTCGCAGACATAACATGTCATCAAAACGCCACGCCCGTCCTGTCCTGCAGGCTCACACTTTTTACACAGACGTCAATTTGGTGCTGTTACTACCTCTACGAGACAACTCTGTCCCTCCGTTTTATGTTTGTGCCTTTTATAGAGAAGGGCGAGGCGCCATAACGCAACATTCCTGTCTTGAACCGGCAGTGTTAAAGGGGATTTTGTTTTCTCGCATGCCTCCATGATGAACAAAGAATCCAAAAACTGAATAAAATTGAACTGAAGTTTAGGGGGGCCACATTAAACAACAGCAAAACTGCATCAAAAGATCTGTTTACAAACTCTCACACAACCCGTGCAGTGTAACCCAAGTCTGATTTATCCAGCTGAACACTCAGTACTTCCCCAACACATGCATGCACGACCTCTGTCAGAGTCTGTAAACGGATGTCTTGATATAGTAGGACAGTGAGTGATGTGTACTTACCCAGCAGGCCCTGGGTCGAGACAGACAGCCCCCGTCCGTCTGTGATGTAGAAACCCAGGTGAGCCATCTGCAGGTAGCTGGGGTGTTTATAGTGGTGGAACAGAACCAGGAAGCGCACATCCTTGGCCAGCTCAATCCAGCAGCTCCGATGGTTGTCCATAGTGACCGTAACGCCCTGCCTCATCACCGATCCCTGCTGGTTGATAGGAAGCATATCCCGCCCTTCCCCTTCCACCACTACAGCGTCCAGTGAGAGGGTGATCATGATGTCACCAGAGCCGCCTGTGGGTAAGGAAATGGTGAGCCGGTCGAAGTAGGTTCGGGAGCGCTCTTCTGCACCATGCTTGGAGGGAGCACCCATCAGGTGGCCGTCGACGATGATCCCTTGAGGAGGAAGGAAACGTGGTTTCAGTGATAATCTTAAAAAGTCAAGGCTAACTGTGTGCATGTATATTTCTGCACTTATCTGAAATGATACATGTTATTTCTGAGCGTACCTCTCTCTGGGTCCTCCAACAGTCTGAGAACATCATTAGCTCTGCCGTCTACTGTGAAACAAAGGTTCTGATGCAGTTTCGGCAGCTGGACCACAAAATGAGGATCTCCATCAACTACAACAGAAAACACTGAGCATGAATACAACATGAGTACAGAAAATATTCAAAATAAATCTGATGGTGTAACTAAAAGAGTCATTCCAGGGAAACTGTTCAGATTGGACTTCGGAATTTTAGGATTTTGTGAGAATGTCAGAACTGCAACTGAACTTTTTTGCAAGCTTGGGCACTACGTTTCTGATGTTTATCCATTATATCCAGATATCTGTAAGGGGAAGGAAAGTTTCAAAGTTATATGGCCCAAATTCTCTCTGTGGTCAGAGCTAACACCACACTTAGCATGCAGCTAAATTTAGAAAATCATGTTTTATACAAATACATATTGAAAATTTAATCTTAAAAATGTCTTACGAATGTTTTTTGAGTGATGGGGTGGATATGCTTTGTTTGACAGAGATGGTTTTGAAAGAAAAACACCAAAAAATGTTCTAAAAGAAAATGTAAACTCAACAGCATTAATTTTCCCTTTTTAAACTTTTAAATGATCGAATTTCCTCTTAGTGATGTCACTTAAAGAAACAGTACAGTATTTTGGTGCAGAAATACATCGGTGTGACGAGGTGGAACATGATGCTTATGGACACACGTAAATCATGCTATTTTAATAAAAATATGCTCTTTTTTATTTGATTAACATATTTCCCAGGAAGCGGGAAGCAGTAATGCTCCCAAAAACAAAAAAACTGACATTTTTACAACATTTATTGCGTGTTACATCACATGAATGTGAGAAAAAGTCAGAACAAACATAAGAAAATAACTACAATTTAACAGAGGACAGTTAAAAAGAGAACAATTGTAATTATATTCATCAATTTTATTTTCCTTTAAAGGTCAATAGTGTCGCATTAAGAAGGATATGTTGGCAGGAATAATAAGTATGTTTTCTCTAGTGTATAATCACCTGAAAATAACAATTGTAGTGTTTTTGTTATTGTAGAATGAGCCGCTTTTATCTACATAGGGAGTGGGTCATCGTTCATGGAGATCGCCATGTTCACTGCCATATTTCTACAGTAGCTCAGAACAGACAAACCAAACACTGGCTCTAGATCACGCCCCCGTCTGTGACAAACACTGTCAGAAAACACTGATTTGTAATGTAAAACTGCTTTACTCAGTGTTTTCAGTGATTTAAATTACCTAGTCTGTCTGCTCTGGAGACAAAGAGACCTCTGTGGATAATTCAGCTCCTGGTAAAAACCTCCTGAACGTCTGGATCAGAAAATAGCACATTAAAGCCCCTACAAGGAACTTAAATTTTGAGGTGATTTTGGCGACTCCGTGGACAAAAGCGGTAGTGTTTTGCCGGAATGAAGCCTACATTTCCCATGAGCTCTAGCGCGTATTGTCGTAAAGACGCTTACCTGGCTCGCGCATGTGTTTGTTTTGGGGATGAATGAAACAACAAGACGGGAAAACTTTGCTCCCGCTCCTATCGGGGATCCCAGCTCACCTCTGCCGCGCCCCAGCTCCACCTCTCCGGCGTAAGCGCCACCGCCACCAGGGTAAACGCAGTGGTCGGCTGGTAAGGCTGAAGGCCTGTTTGGCGAGCACTTCCAAGGCTTCTTGGACTGAGTATGGAGCGGTGCCTCGCCTCTTAATTTCCCGGCACTCGCTGGACCCTGTCGACACCTGGCTGGTACCTGTCGTCAGCCCGGATGAGGAGTTCCAGCCCCGTGGCCCCTGCTCTCCTCGTCCCCGCTGGCGCAGGTTGAATCTGCGCAACCTGCGGCCTCTGTGTGTGGCTCCCCAGACAGCTAACGCCGTGGACCCGCCGGCTCCTGCCAGGATTGGGCTGGTAAATGCTAGATCGCTAGTGAACAAAACGTTTATCCTGAAGGATTTCCTGACTTCCCGAGGATTGGATTTTCTCTGTGTGACTGAGACGTGGCTGACTGTTGGTGAGTCCAGTGCTTTCACAGAACTTTTACCCGATGATTGCTGCTATTTTAACTCCCCGCAGACGTTGGGTCGAGGAGGAGGAATAGCGACTATTTATAAATGTAAGCAGCTAGGTAAGATGACGTGTGCCGTCTGAGTGCCGTAAATCGTTTCGTCCTGGAAGCGACCTGGGGCGGACCCAGAGAGTTTCCTAAAGGTATGGATATACACTATATAGAAATAGCTTATCTTCACACCGATGGTCTCATTTGCTGTTGTAGGTCACGCACAGACATCAGCAGAAACAAGAGACTTTTGCATATCCAGTTAAAAGTTCCTCGTAGCGGCTTTAAGTATCAGAGGAAATAGGTAAACATACATTTGCAGGTGCTGGGCAAACAGGCTGTTTGGGACATGCCAAACATGGCAGGAGAAGACCTCTGTGGATAATTCAGCTCCTGAACAATGAACACTGAAGGAAATCTAACCTGGAGAAGTTTCAGCTGGCTGCAGGCTGCAATCCGCAACCCTTGCAGCTAGATGCCACTAAATCCTCCTAAATGTTACACACTGAAGCCATAACGTTGGGGACCCAAACTTTGCAGTTTGCATGGAATGACTCAGAAACATATAGTGTAGGTTCTTGACCTGATGAGGAGAAGATCCGGATGGTGCTCAGTCTGGACGCAGAACCATCTAAAAGCACAAGACATTCAACTAAAGGACATCCTCCTCACACCCCAGCACTGAAACCAGTGTTAGTGTCTCTACAATAAATTACATATTACATCAAACATCCAGCTGCAAATAACACCCATGAAATACTCACCCAATGACCCTGTGTCTGGAGTATCATCCCCTAAAAACAAGTCACAAAAACATATCTGACATGAAACTTTTAAGGCCCGAAAAGCAGCTACGGACAGAATCGCCTCTAATGAGAATTTGAAACTTACAGGCATCATAGTTGAGATCGTAGTCGTAGTCATAGGTTGCATCATAGTCTGGGGAAATGGAGGCAAGCAGTGAGAACTGAAGTTCAGGACATGCTCTGCTGCTCAGGATGATAAACATTAACAGTGATGTGATACTCACCTTTCACAAGGTCGATATCTGTAAGAGATAATAAAGACAAATTCAGTTCCTATGCTGTCATGTAGCTGATTATCATGGTGTATGATAATTTAACAGCTGACAGAGTACTTGATTACATTTGAGTTCATTTGATCTATCACTGCAGTGTGAAGAGAAAATACAGTTTCACCTTTTCTCTGAATGAAAGTGGAGACATCTAGTGGAGAGATGAAGAACATTCAATTAGGACACAGTCATTCTCAACACTCATCCTGTAACTTGACTGATGACTGCACATTAGACTCAACACACACATCAGAGTGTCACTTACCCAGAAGCCCTGCTGCTTCCCACAGTCGTGGCCCATCTGTTACACCAGGCATGGGAGCAAAGGTGGCCGACACAAAGGTGGCGACGCTCAGGTCTGTGTTGTTGTCGTCCACAGTTGGAGCCGGTGCTGGGGTGGGAGAGGTGAGCAGCTCAGGCAGAGCTGTGGTGTGTTCAGGCACATCTGGAGCAGATGTGGTAGTTTTCTCTGCCTCTGTGGAGGGGACTGACACTTTGACAGGAGGGAGGGGCGTCCTCGCTGTGCTGGGCTGTGGGGTGAGGGGTTTCCCGGGCAGAGGAGCAGGGTCGGTTCTGACTGAGCTGAGCGGAGGTGTGGTGAATGTTAACACTGTGGTGGTGGGTGAGGGAGCGGTTGTTTTCAAGGCGCTGGGCTGGGGGGTGGAGACTTTTCCAGGTGCGGGAGGTGGTGCTGTTTTTAGAGCGTTAAGCACAGAGGTGGGGATCTTACCAGCAGCAGGAGGAGGAGGCGAAGGAGGAGGGGGGGAGGCAATTTTGGATTCATTCTGGGAAGGAGTGGGCTTTTTACCGGAGAATGGAGCCGGGGCGGTTTTGATGGAGATGGGACTTGTTGTTGTTGTGGTTTTCTTGGATGGTGAAACTGTTTTCACTGTGGAAGTTGAGATTTTTTTTGTTTGCTTTGGAGGTGGCTGAGGAGGGTCTGGCTTTGCTTTGTTAGGCCTGGAATTAGAAGGAGTGCCGGGCTTCTTTGCAGCGCCAGCAGCTGATATTTTGGTGGTGGCGGTAGTCGTTGCGGTCGTGGTTATAGTGGCCACGGTGGTGGGTTTTACAGTGGTTGGATTCTGAGCCGCTTCATCTGCGTCTGGCTTGACTACAACTAAAGAAGTGACTGGTGTTACAAAGTTGTATTTGAGCGACAGGTTGGTGGCCTTTTCTGTCAGTAGCCTTTGAGTTGCAGGGTCAGAGGCGTTCAGTTTGGCCAGCAGCAGCTCTTTGATGGTGGAATACGCCCAGAGACGGTGCACAAAGCTGGAGATTCCTTCCAAGCTTCCTGAACAGTCTAGTAAATCTGCACTCCCGTTCCCCTTTGCCTGTGAAATCAACACATCGTTCTCCAGTTTGACACGTTGCTTTGAATCAGTGGCAGACATCAACACCTTTAAATCTTTGACCCCTGGTTTGACCCTCCCAGCCACCACTAGCTCGGAGCCTTGGAAGTAGTTCGGGAACAGGGAGCGCGTGATGTCAAATGCCTGATCGTCCAGGTACGACAGCTGGATGTCTGATAGCAAAGGGCTGGCGACTTCGTCATAGAAGCCCTTCAGCTGCAAGGCTGCGTCAGCATCCTCGTACACCATCCTAGCGATGCCGCGGTTATCCAGAGCCAGGCGTTTCAGGAGGAGGAAGTCTGCGTCGTCTCCGAAGGCAAGGCCGAACAGAGAGGCGGAGCCCAAAGCTTTCTTGGCGTTGACAAGGATGGTGTCACCGGCTGTCACTCCGATGGTTGCCTCTCCATCGGTTAGGAAAATTACCAGAGGGACACGGCGGGATGAGAGGTGGTTGGAGGAGGCAGAGGAGGGGTTGACGAGCTGGGCAGCTGAGAGAAGAGCTGCGTTGATATTGGTCCCTGATACAGAAGAGATTATCAGAGTTGAAGGAAGAGAAAAACAAACAAAAGAAAAAACAGTTGGACACAAATGATCAGTAATACAAAAGCTCAACCACTTTTCAACTCACATCCTTCTGCAATAATCCTCTTCACAAACTCCTTGGCGTCTCGCACATTCTGCCGAGTAGCCCGCACTGTTCGTCCTTTCTTCCAGGTGTGAACTTTGTCTGAGAAGGTGATGATATTGAAGTGGTCTCCCTCTCTAAGGTCTCCGAGAATGGTGCCCATGGCCTGCTTGGTCTACTGACAGAAAGTGTTAAATCACCGACAGAAACTCAACATGATATTTGCAGAATAATGTTGTATTTTACACGTCTTCACATCCATGAGGTTTGTCCACTTTACCTGTTTGATCTTAGTGCCTATCATTGAGCCGCTGACGTCAATGACAAATATAACATCCTTAGGAACTACAGGAAGTCCTCTGGGTGCAAAGTAATGCACAAAGTAGCCGTCATACACCTGAGAGAGGGTGGAAATAAAAAGGGGGAGAAGACAACCTTAACTGGAACCACAAACCATATTCACGTATTGTGACAAACATGAACACTTGTGTGTGTTTGCCAAGCCAGACATGGACACATGCTCCTGACCTGGACTTCACCCATGAGGTCTCTGAGGTCCACATCGTACTGAATGATGAAGTCTGCATTCAGACCTTTGGGGGAGATGCTGTTCTGCTGCTGCAGAGTGGGACTGTAGCGAACTCGAGCACAGCAGGCGCTCCGCTCAACATGAGTGGAGGGAGGAGCCTCTGCATCACCTGTAGGAAAGTAGAACATGGTTAAATCCTGTAGTAGTTTTCAGAAATCTACATTTTCAATATAGGAATAGTTTGACATTCTGGGAAATATGTCCGCCTAAGTGGAAAATTAACTTTGGCTTCTCTGATAAATCAAAGGTATAGACAGTGACACGACACAACACACCACTTAAAACACAAATAACAATATATATGATACAATAGTGCACAGAGGGCGCTAGGGAGTAGTGCCCAGCACCCGACCTTGTGTTAAAGACGCAGCATGTATATGGCCCCTAATTTAAAGGACAGGCATGTCGGGCAGGAAATCCAAAGTGTGGGATCATTTTGAGAAGGTGAAGGACGAACCCAAGGTGATATGTCAACTCATCTTCATTGGTCGACTACAAACATGACGTATCATCTGAAACATGGAAGCAGCTACATGCCCATTAGCCCACAGCGTCATTAACAGGCGGCTCGCTCAGTGTGTGACGTGCACTTGTAGATAAAATATAGGCCTATATTAATGAAGGTTCATTAGTATAGTTTTGTATTTCTCTGTAATGTAGCACAGTGTTAACAATGTTACTGATACTATTCTTTCTCACACCTTCAACTCAAACCACCAAAATACATCATTTAATCATCAAATTAATATCGTAAACATGTGGGCGACTAGACGACTAATGGTGCCTGTCCATAGGCAGCCCCCTCACCTTGACATCTCTCTGTTTATGCATGTGTGTGTATTTCAGGCCTGTGTGTATATGGCAATGGAGTGGAAACAATCACATTTCCCCTCGGGGATTAATAAAGTATATCTTCTTCTTCTAAAGCTTTAAAATAACAAAATAATGGGGAACTTTTATTGCGAATAATTTATAGGAAATGAAACGTGTTTACTCCTTATAGCTGTTAAGTGAAGACAAACAGCTGCAGTCTGCAGCTTCAGAATGACTGTACTAACACTCATGGAAAAAATGAACACGCTTTTTTCCCCAAAATGTCAAACTATTTCTTCAAATGCAAACATTAGTAGACAGACTGTAATTTATTTTACAGTCACTGATTCAACCAGGAAGTCTCTTGAGACTGCTGCTCCTAACACGTGATAGTAGGTGTGAGGTAGTGTGTCTGTACTTTACTCTCATCCCAGTTAAAATATTTGTTGACAGGTAATAGCTCAGTTTTTACCCTGAGCAGTGTTGGAGAGCAGTCGGCTCATCTTGAGAGGAAAGGCTTTGATGAAACTGAGGCCCGTCCGCTCCATTATGGTGACATCTAACGTGAGGTTGTGCACAAGCTGTCCCGGCCTCAGACCCAAACTGAGCTCGTAGCGGCCGAGTCGACGAGGCAGCAGCTCCTCGTAGGACAGGGAGAAGGACATCCGAGCTCCTGACGGCACGCTCACTGCCACACGAAACTTCTCAATCTCCCTCTCTCTGGAACACCAGGAAAGAAAGCTCACAATGTTGGATTGGATTATAGTCTCCTTTTAAAAAGTGTTAGAAAACATACAGCATGACACTGCAGGAAGTGACATTCACTTTATTTCAAAGTAAAAAAAACAAACTTGGGACTGACTTGGTGGCAACGAGTCCGGCTGTTTTCCCTTGCTTCTTAGCAGCATCGTAAATTTTCCTGGCAGCAGCTCTTTCCTTCACCTGGGCCACATACACCTTGCCGTTGGAGGTGCTGATGGGATGGAGGAAAGAGGAAGAAGAAACAGCTCTCTGTGTGACTCACAGTAGCCAGATTATATTTCAGTCAGAAACACGCCCGGCCTGCATTGAGTCCCTGAGCGTGATTTACTTTATTTCGCTCCTTGTGTTTCCAGAGCGATCACAGAGCCGCTTCACAAATGTGCATCATGTTTGTTTACTAATGGAGTTCATAGCATACGAAGGAGGAGGTGGGGTCATAAACAGGGCGAGTGGAAAAGAGTAATTTCCCTCTAAAAACAGCATTAATGAAGAGAGATCCTGAGGGCCGGTGACGCTCCGAGGGAGTGCCGCTGTGTGCTACACCCGGCAAAATCCCAACTAAAACCACCGCTCAAAAGTGGGATCCAATTCACACAGTGCACTTCCTAGACTTCGGTGACCGCTGATGTCACGTGATGAGGTGCTAAATTAAGGTCAAGTCCTTTGAACAAATATATCCAAAGAGAAAAAACATCAAGGACTAACTAAAATAAACCCACAGGCTTGAAGCGGGTCTTGTTTGAGAAACAGAGCAGAATGGCGAGAGTGGAAAATGGAGGTGCTTGTATTTATATGTGTGGCTGGCTGAGGGGGTAAAGGAACGGCTGTACATCAGTGACCTGCACACAGAACACAGACGTCTTAGTTTCAGACACACGGCTAACGCAATAATTTTTTCCCTCTGGTATTTGTTGATGTGCAGACGGCTGTATGGGCTCTGAGTGTGAAAATATGTGTAGCTGTGTGTGTGTGTGAAAGTGAAGGAATATGGTTGTAAAAAATAACTCTACACGCTCCAGACTCACCCATACTTAAAAAATCTACATCCACCTCCATGCAGGGAAGCATACATACAGTAGATGTCGGCGTGTGTTTGTGTGTGTGAAGTGTATCTAAACTGGCAGGCTGCCTCGGTAAACTGTGCGGGGGAGAAAAGGGGGACTGGGCAAACTCCTGTCATTTTCTCTATTAACTTTCTGACTTCCATTTACAAAGCCTGGTATTCATCTGCCCTCAGGTTCCCCCTCCTCCTGACCTGCTTCCGCTCCCAAATCCAGCTCCAGGTTTGGTGTTTGGCCTGCGATGTTGACTTATTTGTTTTGTTTATATTTAGCATTTTTTGAAGGAGAGCGGTCAGCAAACCCTCTTAGTAATCAAATTAAGCATCTCTCCTCCGGACCGGAATTCTAGTCCCTTACATAATTCCTCAGAAGTTTTATTTCTGGACTCTGCCCATTAGAGAACATTGCTTTTATTTATTTCAACTTCTCATCATGTTGCAGGTAAATATTACTCTTACAGGCAAGAAGAAATATCTCCCTATCAGTGCCTCTGATTCTGTAGGTGTGGATAAAAAGCCCTATTCGTTGTAAAGAATAATCATCAAAATCCATAGACTGTATAAAATAAGGCACATAGCCACCGTCATGTCACACACTGCTTTGTGGACTCCCATTTTGAAGCCTCAAGTCTGGCATATCGGCATACGCCATCTTGGGTTTTTGGAGCCAGACGCACCTAGGCACCAATTACCTTTACAGAGCAACTGCTGTAGTATAAAGAGGAGAAGGTCCCCATAAGCAGGTGGATGGATCAAACAAACCCTGGACTTTCACACAGGAGACCGCAGTTTGTGTCCCATGTGAAACCTGAAGTTACTTATTTTAATAACAACATAGTGTCCTGGTGTTTATGTAACAAGGTCAGTTATACAGCAGTGATATGTGTAACACAGTCAAATGAACATTTGTAATGTTAAGTATTATAATTACACAAAATTTGTTTCAGTTGTTTTTACCTGACACGCATAGCCCTCCATAGTTAATATGTGGAACGTTTGATACTCAGTTTCTGTATCGGATGTATCATGTAGCCCCAGTAAGTAGCATTACCACAAGGACTCAGGCTGAATAGCCGTCATCAAAATATTATCTATTAATGGCACCTTTGTCTATTTATCTATGTATCCACTAAAACCATTTTTTAATGGATACATAACACCAGTACATTGGAACTGTACATTGGTCTCTTTTGTACTGAGAGACTACAAGTTAACAAAATGGAAAGACAGATGCTCAAATAGACCCTTTTACTGTTAGTAAACAGTGTGACGTTTTTGGTGGGCGGGGCTTAGCGGGAGGCAAAACTATTCTCCACAGACATTAGCCAGAGCTAGCTAGCAAGTTCTTCTGGCTTGTTTTAGTGGTGCGTTCATAAATTCTCATTCTGAGTGTCGGAGTGCACTCTGGCTCAAACTGACCGCTTGGAGCACTGTCAGAATGTACCATTCGGTTATCCAGAGCGTCGCACTCTCAGAGTGGCTGAGCGCACTCTGGACACTGTCTGTGGAGACGGAGCAGCAGAGCGTTGAGCAGAGTGAATGTGTGATTAACTTAACTGTTTGTTACTTTATATAGAAATATAACGCTCCGTTTCTTCATCCAACAGGGCTCTCATTTTAGTGTAGAGAGTCAGACTGAATTTACAAACGCACCATGTCAGCTCACTCACTCTCCGGGACCGTGAGTGTTAGTTGAATAAGTAAACACTGACCAACAGGACCAGACTGGCCGACCCGTATGCTCTCACTCAGTGGATGGATGATGTCACAGGAAGCCAATCTTACAAAGGAGGACCACACTTGAACGGTTTCCTCCAGTTTATTTTGCTATCAAAGCTAATGTTAGCTAAAGTGCTAAAAAGTTAGCGTTCCAGAGAAATCCAATACTCCTCTTAATCCCTCCCCAGTTTCTGATGAGGTGGACATGATAACCCTTAATACACATAACTTTATTCATCCTACAACAGGAAATACTTTTTCCCTATCCTGATATGAAGTGTGCGCTGCACATGTGAGCATTTTTGATGATGGCCTCCGTCCAGTCCTTTGGTCTTATCACATTTAACCATAGTTGTCTTTGTTTTTGTTGACGGGCAGTGGCGGGTGGTTTTGAGCCATGACTCCTTCTATTCTGGCTCCCAATAACACAACAAGACCACACTTTAAGACTCCTTTGTAGCCTACAGCTCTGTGGTGGAGAGGCTAGTTTTGCCTCCAGGTAACAAACTGACATCATCATGACATCTGACCTATACACCACTGAACAAATACAGGAAGTAGTGATGTAGAAACGCTGTATACTGTAGGTGACAGAGACAGTGGAGAAAACATGGATCTGACTTACATGGTGAAGTTGGAGATGAAAGCAGAGGAGGGCAGGTCCACCTCAAAGGCAGCCTCTTTGGTGATGGGGAGCTGGTTCCATACTGAACTCTGGATGGTTGTGACAGCATAGCGGGACACCACCGAACACCTCACATGGTAGTCTGTCACCTTCAGCTAGTGACATCACAAACACACATAAATCATATCAGAGGTTCGAGGGGAAGCACTGAAGTTAAGGATTTAGCGTTATCGCATAGGAGTGTTATACTGGGAGGAGCAAGACACATTATGATCCACCGCATGGAGGAAAGCTGGTCTTAGTGGGCTGATATACCCTTCTTACACACTATAACAGACGACCGTGGATGCTGACTCAAACTCACCGTCCTGCCCTGACGAGAAGAGAAAACAACCTCACACATAACTTTCCCTTTTTTCTCCCATATCTTGGTTTGCCCTGCATCGCTCTGACGAATCAACGAAACAACACAAAGCAGTTCCCTGCATGGTGCCTCTGTCCTCCCCCTGTTTACTCGGGTAACGCCGGCGCCTGCTGAGACCAATCTGGTCAGTCAGTGCTGGCCACATTACTGCAGGACGAGGGCGACAGGCAGGAGGAAGAGAGCCACATCAGCCCTCCAGCTCACTGGTATTTAGGAAGGCTGTGGTTTGTGCTATATAAACTGATGCACTGTATGTTTTCAGGAGACGGCTTCACAGTTAACGCTGAAGCAAACTGAGAGGAAACCACAGTGGAGCTCCGGAGCTGCTGATGGTTGTTTCACCGTCTCTGTGAAGCTTCGTCTGCAGTGGAGGAAAGTAAAAGTACTTTTACCTAAGTACTGTAACTTGAGTTCAGTTTTGAGTTACTTCGATTCGATTTTATGATACTTTCAGAGAGATTTTAAGATTTTAAATTAAACAAAACATAAAAGGAGCTTGCAAAGATGAAATCAGTGGCTGGTCTAGTTTGGCCCCACAGTCGTGTCTCATGAATTGTTAATGAGACTTTTCGTCTCTTAACTTTTCAGATAGTTTTATTTACAGTAAATAACATTTTGGATCCCAAAGAGATCAAATGAAATAAAAAAAAATAGAGAAAAGTCAAATACTTTAATAGAAATCAGTGTTTCCTTTTCTGTCGCATTTTCAGTAGCAATTCTGGACTCTGGGGGCAAGAAGCCAATTGAGGCCTTGACGGTGATGGTTACATCTGATATTGTATGTTTGACAGTTACAGGTAGCTAGCTAATTGCCCTAACTAATGTTATTCAGCTAAAAGGGGTCTGACTTAAGACCCAGACGCACCAAACCAGCATCAAAGATCTAATGGCAATGACGGCAGACTGTTGTGTCGCCTCATGTCGCCTGTGTCTCAGCCAAAAAATTGCACTTGAACACACTTAAATGACTACAGACACCGGCCAACTACCACGCAAGTTCTGCACCTGCGTGATAGGAAATAACTCCACAGCAGCAGGCAGTGGTAGTTTGTATTCATCATTCCAAAAGGGAAACCAGAAGACCGGCAGGATGGAATCAAGATGCTAGTTAGCCAGTTAGCACATCAACAACACAACCAGAAAGAAATAAGTTGTATTTACCGCAAGCTAGCAAACAATAACACACACACACAAAAAAAAAAAAACACAACTATTTATACTTAATACAAAAGGTATGTTTTGAGCTCACTTCCTATTGAACTAAGCTGTTTGTTTACTTTCCTCACTTCTGTTTCTCTTCTCATGGGCTGAGCAGAACCACCAGTCAGAGTCATTTCATTCTCTGATGGGCTCCGCTGTCTTAATCACGCCATTACAGGAGCATTAGGGGCAGTACACATACTGTGACTTTTTGCACAGGCACACTCAAAAGCCAGAGTGACATTGTCGCGGCTGTTTATTTCTGAGCGCCATGTATCAGGGTGCAACAGCTGCGCCATGACGTAAACAGCGATCAATTTGTGACAAGAAACAACCAATCACAGCCGGCAGCTATCTTTTTCCTTCTTCCATAAATATCGTTAAATAAAATCTGTCCCACGGACGATTTCTTTGGCGTAATACACACTTACAAAACAACACCTGGAAGAAAATCAGCTCCGCAATCAGGATTTCTGGTAAGTAGGCTATGATACGGTACTGGTTATGGTTGCTTAGCACAGATGCAATTTGCCTCCACGTATTGAAAGTTGGCACAGAGTAGCACCCGGCGCCCAACCTCACATTTTCCAAGCAGTTTAAGACATGGTATGTCTGCGGCCCCTTTAAGTTTATAGTTGCCATTGCAAAATGTGACAATATGAGTGACCAATTTGGGAGTGGGGGCAGGTGGGGGGCAAACATTCACCTGGTTTGTCTCTCCTGACGGCACGCCCCTGGCATTCATAGATAAAAAAAAATGTTAAACAGAAGCTTAGAAATTGAGACTCTTATATTTTGTGGCACGAGGTGCTCAAATCCTACCTTAACATTTAATGTAACAGTAGCTGCACAAACTTACCACTGGTTTCGTTGGTTTGCTTTGACGTCTCGCTCTCTGAAAAACAAACGAGGCACACAAGTCAATCAATGGTAGTTTTGTAAAATGTGCTTTTAAAACAGAAGTCAATGGAACATTGTTATGATATGATGCATTATGCCGTTTATCTGCACCATCATTTGTTCAAAATGCCCCCCTTTTTTTGAAGTAATGGTCACAATCTTCCTATGTGAGGGCTGGGTCAGGACTTTGTGTCAAAATAGTCTGAATCAAAGCCATTCATGAATGGAGGGGAAGTGGAACTGGAAATAAATGCTTTCACTGTACACAGGGCCAGCGAGGGCTGCACGCTTTGCTCTCAAATGTTAATTTTGAACACAAGTCATTGCTGTGTCAATACATTACCACATACCCTGCTCATTGCTGGGGATTTAACATAAACAAATATGTTTAAGAGTGGAAAGCCTTTACGGGGAAACATAAAAATCAGATAGAAAATAGGAATATATGATATGTTCTGCACAAGTAAGCCACAGTGTTGGTTGTATCAGAGCTGCTCCGCACTTCTAAATTCTCAAGGTTTGATCACTAACATTTTGAAGATAGTTCAAATATTTCTAATGAAGGTGCAGCTGTCATTTAATACAAAATAAAACTGTGTGTTGCCCTGCTTTGATTCAGCCTGCTTTGTAGTCATCAGTAACTTAAAAAATGTAAATAAAAGACATACCTGTAGAAGGATATTTGCTCCCAGCTTTGCTTCATATTCCCTCGATAATCCGTCTTGCACATAAAAAGTGAAGAAGACTAGAATGCACTGTATCTTGAAGTTCATCATGTCCATGGTCATTCAGGTTTTCAAGATGAAGTGTTCTCACGTTGGACTGAGGCAGCTCGTGCAGCAGGACGCTGTGCACATACCTCACATTTTACACTGCTTATTTTCTGCGAGGGGCAGTCTGAGCCCTCCCTCAGCTCAGCCCGGCTCACTTTAAACTGCAGCGATAAAAATAAAAGGTGCTGTGATAAGAGTTAAACATCCGTCAGGTGTTGCGGTGAAGAAAAGAAAAAAAAAGATGGAGGAGAAGCGTGAAGTAGAGTCAGAAAGTTGCGTGAGTCCCGTTGGGTGTGAAGGAAGCAGCTCTCTGCTCCTGTTCGCGCATACTGGAAATTTCGCGGACTGCTGCCACCGAGGTGCACCGAGAAATGAGGGATTATTAACCCCTGCCCGGCCACCAAAACACCTCCTCCTCCTCCTCCTCCTCTCTGCAGGAATGCTCCTGAAAAACGCACCGACTTTTATTTCTTAAAATTACTTCCAAATGCGAGTGAGAGCCTTTTCCCCCACACAGACCCTTTATTATTATTGGCTGCAGGGAACACGTTGTTAAATTTAACTTCAGCTTCTCTGTGGGAGAGTTAACAACACTACAGAGCTGCCAAGCCAACACAAACTGGACCTGTAAAGTTATTTTCTGAGGTTTATTTATTTACATCAGCTTCTCATCTACAAACGTTACAGACAAGTTCCCAAATCTACAACACGTTTGTTTGGGTGCTGTCCGTGGTGCTGACTGCCTCCTTTTTAATTAAATCATCAACATATTATCTGTGCAACAGTCACAATGACAACCTCCCTACATCTGGTTACATGTCTTATTCCCTATGGAAGCAAATGAGAGACATGAAATATTTGAATTTTCAACAGCAACTGGATATTTAATACTGAAATCTGAGCATAACTGAATTCAAAGCATTGAAGTTTTAACTTTAAAAATCACATATCTAAATTTATTTGTTCTGAATTCACCTCTCCGAAATTATAAGATGAATGTTCTTGATTTGCTAAGTAAAAAAAAAAATCATTAAATTAAAAAAGTAAATTATCACAAATTCAAGTTTCATAATTAAAAAAAGAAATTAAGGAAATTAAATAAAGCTTCAGATTGCTCAAATTCGACTGGTCAAATTCAGACCTGAAAATTCAAGTTTCATTATTGGGAAGAAAAAAAAAAAAAAAGCTTCAAGTTACATAAATTTAATTAATCTCAATCATCAGTCAAATTCTAATGGTCAAAACATACATTCATGCTTGATTGCCTGTCCTGGCTACGGTAGCCTGGATGTTGAATTTGACAATCAAATTTAAGCAACCTGAATCTTTTTTTTTTTTTTTTTAAATTATTAAACTTATTTTTTAGGATCTGAATGTACAAACATTAAAAATATATTCGATCATAGCTTTAGAAACTGCAAATCAAGAAATTGTATAAATCATTTTTTAAAGGATGAATTCAGAAAAAATACATTTTTATGGTTTTCAAAGTAAAATATCTCAACGCTATATTCATCCATCCATTTTCATCCACTTATCCAAAGGCGGGTCGTGGGGGCAGTGGGCTGAGCAAAGTATTCCGGATGTCCCTCTCCCCAGCAATGCTTTCCAGCTCCTCCTGAGGGACCCCGAGGCCTTCCAAGGCCAGATGAGATATGTAATCCCTCCAGTGTGTTCTGGATCTGTCCCGGGGCCTCCTACCAGTGGGACATGCCCAGAACACCTCTAACAGGAGGCGCCCAGGAGGATCCCGATCAGATGTTGAACCACCTCAACTGACCCCTTTCAATGCAAAGGAGCAGCGGCTCTACTCCGAGCCCCTCACCCTATCTCTAAGGCTGAGCCCAGACACCTCACGGAGGAAACTCATTTTGGCCGCTTGTATCCGCAACCTCATTCTTCTGGTCACTACCCAGAGCTCATGACCATAGGTGAGGGCCGGGACGTGGATGAACCAGTAAATTGAAAGCTTTGGCTCAGCTCTCTCTTCACCATGACGGTCCGGCGCAGCACCCACATCACTGCAGATGCCGCACCAAACTGCTGATCCATGTCACGCTCCATTCTACCCTCACACGTGAACAAGACCCTGAGATACTTGAACTCCCTCACTTGGGGCAGTAACTCCGTTAAAGGGGGTTTTTTGGGGAGTTTTTCCTTATCTGCCGTGAGGGTCCTAAGGACAGAGGGATGTCGTATGCTGTAAAGCCCTGTGAGGCAAACTGTGATTTGTGATATTGGGCTTTATAAATAAAATTGATTGATTGATTGATTGAACTCACTCCCAACCTGCATGGGGGCAAGAGCCAAGGCCTCAGATGTGAATGTGACTTGATATATTCAGTGGCTGTCAAAATCAAAATACTTACGTCTCATATTTACTTCCATACTTCTCAGCCTAACACAGTGCATTACTTTCCTTCTCTACATCACTTGTAAACAATGTGACACTTTTTTAACATGTTGAAAAAAGAAAACTCTAGTCTGATAAGACAGAAACATTTCACATTCATGTTGCAAACAGAACGTCCTGCACCTGCGCGTTCAGAGAGGGGTCCATGTGCTTCTGTTACAGGCTGCTAAACATCTCGTCTTCTGCCTCACAGACCCCCCCCCCCCTTCTGTTTTCACACAATCAGGCCTCACTGGAGTGCATCTATAATATTTAGTGAAGCTAACAGAAGCAGCAACTCGTCCAGTTTCACATGAGTGTGATGCTTTCCTCACAGATCAGCATTTATATGTGGTCAGGAACAGTCTGCAGAGCCTCCTCACGGTTTCTGTTGACGTTGACATTCTGCAACGGCAGCAACACAAAGAGTCACTTTAAAGACTGTTAGCATGTCCTGTAACCAAACTACATACATACTGACTGTGTTCACACTGGAGAGGTGAGAAAATTAAGTATATACTCAAAGCAGACACCACACAGTAAAGTACAGCCAATGTTTAGGTGTGCTGTGGGAACTATTCTCCCACAATGCAAGGCTGGAAATAACGGAGGGAGGTCGCTGACAGCTGGGATATATACATACACACTGTGTATATATACATATATATATATATATGTATATATACACACACATATATATATATATATACA